TTTCTCGTTTGAAACTTCAAAGTTTGACAGTTATTGTGAATTTGTGAATTGTGATTATGAGACGACTTGGAAAAGTTGCAATAACTCAAAGTCTCTGAAATGTTTGACAGTGCTCTTCGCTAGTTTGCTCACGCCTCCAGTGCTGGCTGTGCTGCTGGCTGCTGCTCGCCTGCTCTGTCCTCTGTGCTCACCGCTCTTCGCTTCGTCGCTTCTTCAAAATTCTAATCTCCTATTCTCATTTTGCTAGTAAGTTGATTTCTAATTTTTAGTTTAAAATTCTAATCTTCAATTTAATTCAGTCTAATTAGTTAATTCTATTAAACTTTGGTTGATTTTGTTGTTGTTTGTTTGGTAAACTTTGAACCTTTTGTTAATGTTGTTGGGTTTTTGTCTTTTTGATGAAATTTGAACCTTTTTGATCATGCGATTATGTGAATTGTGGTCAGTGTTTATTTAGGGTGTTTATTAGCTTGTTAATTATTAGTTGAAGTTTTTTTTGGTGTCATTGATCTTCAATTGCAAGAACTTGAAAATCGATTTCCCGAAATAACTAAAGAACTACTTGTGTGTATGTCTTGTTTGAGTCCTGTGGATCGTTTTTCTAAGTTTGATAAGGAAAAATTGATTAAGGTTGCAAAATTCTATCCTAATGAATTTCCAAGTTCATAAATAGTCTTTGGTCATACACTTGAGAGTTACATTTGTTCTGTTAGAGGAGATGAAAGGTTTTGGAATTTGAAGGGTCTTAGTGAACTTTCAATCAAATTGGTTGAAACGGGATTGTCTGAAACTCATGATAGGGTCTATTTACTTTTGAAGTTGGTGTTGTTTCTGGCATGAAGCAAGTGAAAGACAAACTACGAAATAGCATGGGAGATCAAATGTTGAATGATTGTTTAATTACTTATTTGGAGAATGATTTGTTTTTGAATGTTAGCATGGAAGATATCATAAATCGATATCAAAACATGAAAACTCGTCGAGAAATATTGTAATAAGTTTGCATTACTATTTAATTGTCTTTTGTAGTATTATATGAACATTTGGTTGTATTTTGTACTGTTTGAATATTTAGATGTATTTTTTAGTACTATTATTTGGTTGTTTGGTAAAATTTTTTTTTTTACATATTTGATTATCGATTGTGACTCACCAGTCGGAAATTCCTGGGTCCGCCACTGTCTCCAACCCTCCAGTAGCCCTGCCCGGAGTGCCGGCCGACCAGCCCCCTCCCCCGCTTCGGCAAACCCAGCCCTTCCCTTCCCCCTTACAGCCTTACCTCTGCCACGACCACCCATATCATTCTCCTAAGACCTTAACCCGAAAAACCCTTATTGACCAAATCTCCGCCATCTTAAAGATCTCCTTCGGCTTCAAAACCTTATCAACAGTGGAAATCGCCACTGATTCTTCATCAATTAGTGTTCCGGCAACCTAAACTTCGCCGTCACAATCTACGTCTTCAATGTTACCGAGTGTCCGATTGTTCATCGTCAATCCGCGACGGAGGTGACTGGTCATCTAGCGCGGGGGAGGCGGCTAGGTCAACGGGGCGGGGGGGGGGCCTAGGTCGACGGCGCGGAGGAGGATGCTGGGTCAGCCGGTGCTCCGGGGAAGGCTGCTGTTTGGCATGGGAATTGGCGTTGGGGTAGGCTGGTTATTTTATTTTATTTTTAATTTAAGTTTTATTTACTTTTTATTTTTAAAAAAAAATTATCCAATCACAAAGTGACACATAACATCCTAACCTATTAAAACCGGTTAGCAACCCGGTTAAGGACCAATAGAAGATAATGCTCTTAAAGGTGGGATTATTGGATAATAATTAAAAGGCGGGATTATTAACGGCGAACCAGTCAAAGGTGGGATTATTAAAAGCAATTTTTTCTTTAATTAATGGTAAAAATTACAAATCAGTACGAATTGATTTAGTTAATTAGTAATTAAAATTAGGTATTAATGGTACAACCTTTTAACCAGCCCCGTTTCTAAGATTTTGGTGACCCGGGGCAAAGATACAAATTGGGGCCCTAATTAACAAGTATTACAATTTTCTTACAAAAAATAAAAAAAAAATGGGTATGCAAGTTTTTTTTACAGATACCTAACCAACACCCACTAAGGCACTAAGCACTAATCCATACAATAAAGCCATTTTAACCTTAACCCCCACAATGACACCATCATATCCAACCTCACTCCACGGCACCACCATCGATCACCACTCCCTAACCGCCAAGTCACCACCTCACAAACCCCTCCTACAGCAGCACCTCCACCCACAACCATCAAGCATAAAAAATAAAAGATAGTAGAAATATTTATTGAAAGGAAAATTAACCATTTTTCACAAAATTACATATGAATAATGAACTTACGAATTACAATCATTGCCTCTTCGGTACCAGTTCAAGCCAACCAATCAATGTGATTTTTTCCCCCAATTTTTAAATTCTTGAAATCATTTAAGTAATGAAAAATTAATGGAAAGAAGAGAATTTGAAGAGTAATGGAGGACATGCTAGGAGGATTATACACAATTAGATTAAATGCTCATTGAAAATTAAAGAGTAAAATAACCAGTTATTCAAATTTTCATCTTCAATTGAATGGAATTGATTTGACTAAAAATTGGGAAGAGATACATTTTATTTTGGAAAAAGAATCAAATTATTCATAACTTTGGTAAGTGAATTTTTTGGGCGGATAATCAGGAAGGAAGGAACAAATTAAAAAAGGCATTTAGTATTCTTTTGTATTGACTTTACGCTTTTTTATTTTTATTTTTATATTTTGGGCCTTATCTCATAACTGTACTTGGGCTTTTCAAGTTGGGGCCTAGGGTGGTTGCCCCAACTGTCCTTCCCTTGCTACGGGACTGCTTTTAACATAAATCATTATATGATGTATTGATGTTAATAGTAAAGTTTTAAGGGTTAAACGCAAACATCTAGCTATTCAGGGTCAATTTTTACTTTCTCCATTTTATTAGATGATTACATCATTTTTTAATATTCACATAAGTTATTTTTGACAGCCATTGTGATTTAATCATAATATAAGGTAAATATAGTTATGCATGTTTTTGTTTGATTGGTCTTAATAGGACACTTCTTTATTTTTTGCAAATGCATGCATGATATACATATATTAATAAATAATGAAATGCATTTATTTTATTCATACGGTAAAGTTAATTGTGCTTTAGTAGTAAGCTCATCATATCAAAGGACACCTAGCTGGCTAGCTGGCCATGCCTGGGGAGTGATTGAGTGAGGGGGTATTTGTCATGATGAGGCTCGAACCTCACACCCTATGGATGCGAGTTAAAATGGTTGAAGTCTTTGTTGTCCTCTCTTGGTATTAACCATTAATATAATGTGTCTTATGGAAGACGACCAAGAAACAACCCACAATATTCACTTGTTTGCTTAGGCTGAGTATTGTGTAATGACCGTTACAACTTGTGAGATAAATTGGTTGAAGTTTTTGTTGTCATCTCTTGGTATTTTGCATCCCAATTAAACCTAAGAAGTTATTTTGTGATAGTCAACCCACTCTCCATATTGCCAAGAATCCACATTTTTGTGATTGTACAAAAAATGTACATTCGAGGCTAGTTGCCATTTCGTTCATGATGAGTTGGTATTTGGTAATTTAGCTATTGCATATGTTCCTACATGTCATACATCAATTAGCAAATATTTTAACAAAGACACTTGGAAAGTGTAAATTTTGTTATAAACTTAACAAGATAGGTATTCGTGATTTACATGTTCCAACTTCAGGGGGAGTTAGGATATACTTATGTAAAGTTAGGATATATCTTATGTACATCTTTGTATATATCCTAGATTAGAAGGGTTTTGGCAAAAGGTCTTTGATTGTATGAGACTATACATATGTGTTAATATTAAAGCTAATAAGTAATAACAACTCTCAATCTGAATCATAGAAAACATCCAAAACATAACATGGGTCTACAAAAATTGAGTTGAGTTGAAAAAATTCAGAGGTAAAATAGTCAAATATTGGCATTCAGGCCAAAGAATTTATCCCAAAATTCAATCAATAACGGACCCAAAACAGTTAAAGGCAGGATTAGTTTCTTCTTAATCAATCAATCAATGCTTATTTGAAATCGGATGGCAAGAGGAGATTGTAACTTTCACAACCTCCATCAGCCCTTTTTATTGGGTGATTCTCTGTTTCTCATTTTGTTTCTCATGGGGTATGTGTCAAGATTTAGGGTTCCCACTCATGACACATACGCGATCCCCACCAGTGAAAAAATCACATTATTTTCCAAAATGTCATTATGAGAAACAAAAGTGTTTCTCATAATGAGGAACTGGGGCTCCCTCCTTTTTATTGTCGTCCAACCTCATATAGTCCTATTAAATCTATCTCTCATGTTTATTTGTAGATCTGAATGTCCAGTAATATACCATGTTCAACACTCCTGTGTCCCAAGTTAAGGTACTGTCTACAAGTCTTAGTTTTAATTTTAAGCTTTTGAAATTTAAACACTTAAATATGTACTTGCATACAAAACTAGTACTCGAGTCTCAGTAACATAAAACTGATAGAAGGCAAAGCATTCAGTGGACGATAGGAAACAATTGGTAAATGGTTGTTTTCAAATCATTATGGAGGAAGAAACTATGACATGATGACGAACCTGCAGTAAATCTTTGTTACTCACTGTGAGAAACGTTTTTGTTTCTCACAGTGGCAGTTTCGTAAATAAAATGTACCACCGTGACTAAAGTGGTACAATTTTATCATCCATTTCGTAAATAAAATATACCATCGTGACTAAAGTGATACATTTTATTTAACAAAACTGCCACTGTGAGAAACAACGTTTCTCACAGTGAGTAATGGGGGCGCCCTCCACAAACCTGCTTGCAAAAGGAAGTGAGGGGTTCTCGTGTAGCGTACGAAAGGCTTCCTTTTGTTCCTCCATAGTGGTCTCAAATTGCAATAGTCAAACTAAATACAGACCATACAGTAGCTAAAATATAATAACAGCACAATACACCGAGAATTAAGGTCAAATACTCCATTACACAGGATAAGATAATTAAGTTAAAAGTTTAGGATGCATCAAACGTTATGCAAATCACACTGCACACCAAACATACACTACTACATACTTCCTGTTACTTCCTTATAGACTCGAAAACGCTAGAATACAGGACTAGATCCCATTCATGAGCGAATCCACTAAGTCACTTTCAGCTCCGGCCAGTTCAATAATCCGCATTGTGTTGCATAGTTACACTAACTGGAGCGGGGTCTGGTCTTGGCGGGCATACTGATTATTGGGTTGCAGGGCATTTACTTGGAAGTAATTCCGCGAATCAAACGACTGTGAAGGGACAAGGTCATAGTCACTGCCCCCCGGCATCAAGCTCATGCTTTGCTGAGCTCTTTCATTTTCAGAGATCTGCAAAAATAATTCAGTTTCATGTGTTCATAAATTCGTGCTTTCGTTGTGTTGAAAATAAAGGAAAAGAGAGGAAGGAAGCATTATATGTACCCTTGCTCGGAGAAACTGGTTATTGTTATGCAGTTCAATCTCCTGCAGGAGCAACAATTTTGTCAACAAGTCCAGTATAATTTGTACAATAGCTAAAATAATGTTCGAAACGAAAACATTTCTTGATCTCTAGAGTACTAGTAAAAGAAAATTGAGGAAGTCTGATGATGGCTTCTTCCTTTCTTGACAGTAAATAACGTCTTTTAACATACAAAGTAATAAAGTATACTGACAAAGGGATTTACTCCTGACAAAGTATAAGGTAAAAACAATTTTTTCTCAATTAATTTCCATTTGTTTGTTATTAAATATAATTCTGAAAATAATCTTTATGTGATTAAATTAGAGCAAATTACATGTTTTCAAGTGTTGATAAATGTTACCTATTTCAGAGATAGATATGGGGTAGTATTTCATGTCATATTGCACCACCTATTTCAGAGATAGATAAGGGATAGTTTTGTAGTATCTTATACAAGCGGTAGGTTTAATGTCTAATTTGTTTTATTATCTCTCTAATCACAGTTAGGAATCAAATTGAAACATAAACTAGATATTGTTATTGAGGCTAGTTCCAAGTTCAAATAGATCAGATCTTTCATTATGGTGGCGGCGTTTTTTAAGGCTTGTGTAGTCTAAAACCTAAGAAACTACTAATACAGGCAAAAGGGTTAAATCAGATGAGTGCACGAGACAGGACTAACTTTGGTGACTATTAGAACATCTACACAGACTCTATTAAGACCACTCGTTTGTAACTATGCATTGCATATAAACTGATATAACAATTAACTCACTGTAAAGATTAAACTTATTCACTTAATCTAGTTATTTCTTGAAAAATAAACCACTAAAACAGTAGATCATACGTCAAATAAATTCTACAATATCACTCTATAATGTGGGGCAAGTTGAACGACAAGAAGGAACCTACACATTGATCAAAACTTTCCAAGGAAAATGTGTAACAGCTTCTCTTCAGTCGCGTAATATTCATCAGTGCTTATTTATGTATTGTGATTGCTATTGTTTAAACATCTACGGAATACTTATTTTGATAGAAGAGGCTGTTGTGGTTACAAAGATCTTAGTACTTTTGTACAAATCATATTGGTGTAATTAGCAACTCAGAAAAATAAAGTTTATGTTTAATTATTGGATCGTTTTAGTATTGGGACAGATTAACTTACCCTTTTCTGCATAAACTCAATCTCAGCAAAGAGCAGTTCATTCTGGAAAACACAATAAATAAGGAAAAGTGAATTGCAAGAGGATGTCAAAAGAACTGTATTAACAAGCCAAACTTCATATAGTTTTCTTATTTAGTTACCTTTTTGGACCGAATCCTGTTAATTCCTTTCTCAAGTTTAGACTCGAGGTTCTTCAGCTCCTTCATACTTAGGCTGCTCAGCCCTTCACCCATCATATGCCTGGAAAGATCCCTATAGTTCTATTTCAATAACGTTTGTTCTAAACATAATACTTTGTATCATTTTGTTAATCAAGGTTTACACAGTGAGATTTACCTGTTGGTATTTGTTTGACTTTTGATACTTTGTCGCAGCTTGGCAGCCTCCTGCTGATAGTACTGCAATTTACATTCAAAATAATAATTGTCAGATTACTTAAACATATGTTTATAATGTTACCCTAGTATCTTGCACAATACTGTAGTACCCAAATCACATTTCTAGGTCTAGGGAATTCGGTAACATTGATTTTACCATTCTGTAAGCAACCCATATAAATGTTCTTCAATTCCTACCAAAAGAAAGAAATGTGAGCAATCAAGTGAGGTTAGTTAGTTGCATTATACCTGAGCATTGGCTTCAGCAACTGATCCAGCACCAGTCTGATCAGAACACGCCTTCTTGTACCTGTCAATTGTGCCCTTGACACTGCAGCTAAAGAATATCAATTAGTTCCATGACCTTACGTTCCCTAAGTTTTTATACTTGTTTTTAATTGAACAATCTAGTAAACAATGATGACCTTAACTCATGCGGCATACATACATTAAGAAATGATATTGTTGGGTTTGGGTGTGGCACTAATTTCATACAGTAAATCTCTGTTACTCACTGTGAGAAACGTTTTTGCTTCTCACAGTGGCAGTTTCATAAATAAAATGTACCACCGTGACTAAAGTGGTACAATTTTATCATCCATTTTCGTAAATAAAATGTACCACCATCACTAAAGTGGTATATTTTATTTACGAAACTGCCACTGTGAGAAACGTTTCAGTGAGTAATGGGGGTGCCCTCAATTTCATAGGCCCATTGGTGGAGTATTTATACGTGTTCTAGAAGTTTTTGGATACTAGCAACACGGTTAGTATTCATTTCTCTAGATTTTTTCTACATCATATAAGCCACTAAAATGATCTACAGAATTCTTAACATTGGAAGCAACAAGAAGATATAGGTTGTGAAATTTCTAGAAAAATTGAAGGAAATTCTTGAATTTTCTACCCATTTCTTTTAATCTTCATATTCAACTATAAATATTGGAGATGGACATGATTTCAAAAAAAATATTGGAGATGGACATTTAATTTAAGCATACAAACACATGACCATACACATGCCTACCTATCTACCTTCTTTCGTATATATCCACCTTCTCTACTATGAATCCACTATTGAGGTTATTTTTCGATCGGGTGCTCATCATCCGGGGACATTTGTGAATTGTGTCAAATAAGTTTATTGTATGTCTTTTTTAATATTTGTCTTGCCTTAATTTACCCTTTCTTATTACCACTTTTCATTCCCTACATCTGTTATTTACTTCCGCTACACATTCATTAACCCTAACAAATAGAACAAGAATTGTGTGACTTAAAATGAGAACTAAATTTGACCGGTCAAGATTACTACAGAAAGAGAAATAAAAATAAAAAATTGGTTTAGGTGAACTCAAGAAAAAGGATATGTAAGCATTCACTTTCAAAACAAATATCAGTGAGTAATCATTCAACAAAAACTTGTTTGACATAATCACTGTTTTATTGTGAAATTGTCATATTAATTATTCATTATTAACACCATTGTTTTTTGCCATTATATTTTGGCTTCATATTATCATAACATAGTTGCATTAGGTAACTAGCAACCAGCAGGTAATCCAATTCATCTACAAATAGTGAAATTGAAATACTATTATCAAAAGAGGTGAGAATGTGTACATAATAAGTGAAACTTACCTATGCAAGGGAGGTTTTTTCTTTTATTAGTTGTCAATAAATCACAATTTATTATGTATTTAATTTAGTGATGTATTTATTTTAAAACAAATGGTATAGTGAAATTAAACACACATGCTGGAGAGACTAGACTGGAATAGTAGTTATTTTGACATAAGCAAATTTACCTTCCTGACCATGATATAATACAAATAGTCAAATAGTATAAACTCTCCTTTTAACATATCTGGTCATAACTCCAACCCCTTAAATTGACTTTTTCCTACACATGTCCTAAAGCATTTTAGTTATTGGGTACACATTGACACAATTTGAAAATACAAAATATAAACGGTTCGACCAAACCTTACCCATAGTTATTTATTTATTCAAGTACAATTTTTTTTTTTTCATTTATTGCTGCTAAACAGCAAAAGGAGAAAAGTGGAGAATGGCAGAAACAAAAAAACAAGCAAAACAAAGAAGATGGAATCAAGGAAATCAAAAGCTACATATTTTCATAGATGCAAATCTTTTTTCTCGAAAATTAAGATATCCTACTTGAATAATTATATTAAATAAACAGAAGAACAAGCAATCAATATTGCAAATTAAGAAGTAACAATCATGTTAGTCCTATAATTCAAACTAAAAATATGTCAATCAATTATAAACCGTAAAGTGAATGCATGAAAAAATCTCACAAACAAAACCAAAGATTATGGAATAGATATTAATTCTACCAGTGACTAAATGACATTGAGTACAAGTATGAACAAACAATATGAATAATTTCATGAAATGATTATTACATCTAAAAATAGATACTTACTTCAGTAATTATTTTAGTCAAATCAATCTTGTAACATAGTCCGACACGAAAAGCCATACAAAACAGTAATTTGAATGAAAAGTAAGAAACCTCAGTAAACTCAGCTTCAGAGTTCAGAATATTTACTGTTTGATGCGATGTAATTTAGTATGATATGACCTAAATTTAACATATTTAATGTTTTTAAATCATCAAATTTAATTAAAAAATTTGACTGAACTCTCTCGAATTTTGTGATACCTTAATTTCCTCGAGTAAGTGATTGGCTAAGTTCTGCCACGCTGTCACGTGGTCCATTGATATGATTGGTTAGAATAAGACTAGTGAGTTGAGGACTGTGCCACCTGTCAGAAACCCATTATCCGTTGGATATTAACCCACTCGATTACCCTAATATCCAAGGGTTTTGGATTTTTTTTATTATTAAAAAATGGAATACTAAAATTAGTCTTTTCCAAATTTCTATCAATCAATAAATAAAAATAAAAAATTGAAGTCTGACTACATAATAGCAGCCGTAGGTGTAGGGCTCTTTCTTCTTCCATGCATGGATTGCACAAAGTCAAGTTTGTCCGTACACTTTCTTTTCTTATCTTTCTTCTTTTAAATAAATTAAAAAAAATAAAAAAAAACCCTTTCATTTCTTTTTATTTCATCCAAAATAAATGAAATTCAAGAGTAAGAATTTTGAAAGTAGTTGTAAAAGATGGTGAGAAAAAGCTAGAAGTATAAACATTGTAAAGTGGTTGCAAAAAAATTCCCACAATGCCATTTTGGGAAAAAAATAAATTTAACTTTTTTTTTTTTTGAAACCAGTTAATTTAACTTTCACTATAACTTCACTTGTCTTTTAACTAGAATTACGACTTTATTAAAATAGGATCTAAATTACCTAGTTGAACAAAACTTATATTTTGAAAAAAAAAAAGTGACAGTAGACTAATTCTCTAGAGTAGATAAAAAGATCTACTTGAACGATTATAATAAGATTCAAATACATTAGACGAGATTAAAATATGACTACTAACTGAATTTATATTATGACTAAATATCGTCTTAATTAGAAGATGATGCAATGTTAAGTACAAAACGGTGACCACAAATTGAATTATCTAACGGATTTATATTTCCTACACAAACTCTTTTTAGGTAGCTTTGGTAAGAGTACATAAATTTCTTTGAAAGGCATGAGTATTGTACAAATATATCTAAGCAAGATCTAGTCTCAACACACCCTAATTTTCCCTAATAAAGTGAAAGTTTGTGAAAAAAGGATGATGCAATTTGATTGGTTCAACACACTCTGAAAAAAACAGCAATGTTTTTGTTGTTTTTGCTGTTTCAGACTCAACAGTGATGAGATCATCAAAGAGTGAGGTGGTTCTTTTTTGTTGAAAGAAAATTGTAAAAAAAATTACGCAATTTTTATTTTGAACTAATAGAGAAAGTGAGATCCTTTCACAATCTAAGAGGGTATTTGTACAAAATAAAATAAATCGAATTATTATTTTTATTTTCTTTCACCATTTAAGTTAAAAGAGTAACTGTTTGTATTGAAAATCATATCATTACACTACCCTCTTTCTCTATAAATTTGTCAGATTTACCCAAAAATAATATTAAAAAACAAAAATTATAAACTAAAAACCAAAAGATTCCTCTTTTTCTCAAATTAATCATAAAAATTTTAAATTTTCAATTTTATTCTAGTAAAAGCTATCAATCTAATGTAGATGGACAGTTTTAAGACTTAGTGATAATAACCCTAATTATGAAAAAGAATTATAAATATAAAAATTAAAGGGACCAAATCTTGCAAACTTCTTCTGATTTGTATTATGTTTTTTAACTACTAGCCTTTGTTTTGTTACAAATTTAGACCCACTTTGCCAAAAAAAATGTGTTGTGTGCAATAAATTGAAACCCTCAAATATGTCAAGTAGGCGCATTTTTAAGCCCTAATTTTGGCAAATTTATTGACTTTTACCCATCACGTGTAACCAACATATTTTCATCAATATCTAATTATAGGCAAGGAAATATAGTGTTTTGATAGATTATACAAAGAACCCTAATTTAGTTACACACGCTACGTGTTAGATGAACGAAATCGAAAACATTGTGGTGTTGTGTTGTGTTACATACTGCCCTATAATCTTATCTACTAGTAGTAGTTTGATTTTTTGAATTGGGGTTTCTTGAACACAAACTTTTGTGGGTGTCCTTTTGTTTTAGCTTTATGGGTAAACTGACATGATATTAAGGAAGTGTCAAGAGATTGGAGTAGAGGGTTTTTCGACGAATCGGAATGTGACAACTATGGGTGTAGTAGGCCTACCCCTCTTCTTCTAGCATCATAGATCATAGGCATATTTGTACCTTCACTTAGAGAGAGAAAGGAAGATATTAGAGAGAGAATATACAAAGTTAGCAACAATGGAGAAGAGGGTAGGATGGAAAGCTGATCTCATAGTCCTGAAAACTTTCCCAAATTTTCTTACTGTTTTTAAATTTTTATGTATAATATAATGTTTCCCATTTATTTTAGGTCTGATTATTTTATGCCAAAAAAAAATTGCCAAATTTCTGTTATTTCCTTGTATTACAACCAGATCTATGTTTCTGTCAATCAAAGAAGTAAAAGAAGGCCTTCTTTAAAGAAATAAAAAGGGTATCCCTTAAAGCTCATAACAGAGAAAAAAAAAAGACAAAACTGAAAGAAAGAAAGACAATTTTAATTTCTCTGAGATATAACCCTTATTTATCATCTTCAAAATTTGTCCAAAAATATTAGTGAATTTGTGAATCAGTAAAAAGGGAGGAATTATGTTGAACATATACCTATGATTAGCATACTCATAGAGCCGGCCTCGGCTCGAAAAGACGATGAGGGCAACTTCAGCATCACATAACACTGATAATTCATAGGCTTTCTTCAGCAATCCATTCCTTCTCTTGCAGAAGGTTACTTGGCGGTTTGTCGTGTTTTCGATCCGCTTGATCTCGATCTTTCCCCTTCCCATCTTTCTTTGGCTTGAGGGTGAGCCTTCTTCCATAACTTGTGTCGGGAATTCCATGATTTTTCTAGTTTTTCTGAGAGAAAATTTGATCATATGTTAACATTTTAGCTTAATCAAAAACTTAATAACACCAATAAGATAAAATTAATAACATGGTATATCATTAAACCAACATAACAACCATAACACTAATCTTATTACTGAACTTTCTAGATAGCTAATTAGTCATCCAGCTTAGTTCAATTGAATATGCTGTAATCGAAACTGATTTACGAGCTCGAAATTTCATAGGATGGAAAGGGAATAGAAATACCATAAGAGGCAAAGCGAAAACTAATTAGAATTGAAATTTGGAATTGACTAAGCTAATATTTTAAGCTTAATCTCACCTGAGGAAGAAAAATGAAAAATTAGGAAATATAATTTGTCTGTCTCTCTTTTTCTTCCCTAAAATTCTGCAACAACAGAAAAAAAGAAAGAAAACAAAATGGAAGTGAGTTTGCCCTTCTAGTTGGGTATTTATAAAAGTAGAAACCCATTTAATTTCTCAACTTTCTATTTAATTGTCACAAAGTTTAAAAAAAAAATTAAATAAAAGAAAAATTATTTTTGTTACAAAATTAACCCTTTTATCATACCCTTTTGTATGAAAATGGACGGTATTGGTTGAAAAGAGAAGGCTAAAAATGGAAATTCACATAAAATATTTAGACTCCATTAACAACACTGAGTTTTTAACTTTCTTGTGACTGGAAAAAATTAAAAAGGGGTGATATTGGAGAGAGAGAGAAGGGAAGGATGGGAATTAAAGAGAGAGAAAGGGAAAAGGACTTGTGAAAGAGGTATTAATAATGGGGTGAATGAGACGTTGGTTCAGATCAAGGGTTGCGCACTCTTCCTACTATACTTTGCTTATATATGCTTCCTTCGTTCACCAAAGTGTCGACTTAACTCTTTTTTCTATAAAAATTGAATAGATGTAAGAAAATGGTGGATAAAGTTTTAATAATGGGTGAAGATATGTAAATACTCACCCCATAGCCAGGGTAAGGTTGGATAGCATAGTAAAATACGTTTGACAAAAATAATGAAATAAATTCAAATTGAAATTTTAGAAACAAAAAGGTACGGTGTATAAAATAATTTAGAGGACCTTGGCCAGACCTCAATCATCGAACCCCAAATCTTTAGAATTTAAAGTAAGAGTCTTACCAAATGAGCCAACACTTTGCTAGTGCTTACTATAATAGCTGTTACTTTTTTTTTTTTGACAAGATAATAGGTGTTACATTATTATATGGATACGAAGCATAAATTTGTTTCGTATTTTACTGTCTAGGAAAGAAAAAGAAAGAAAGAAATGTGTGGACATGTAGAATAAATGTAAACATGGATATAATATATTCCACTTGTTTGGAATCTATAATCATGAATAATAATGTGGGATGTCTGTTGGTTAAATATCTTAAGGCAGATTATGGTTATATTTTGATAAATTGAGGGGTATTTATTTCATTACGATGGTTAGGTTATTTGACTAACTTGTTCTCCATGTATCAGAAACTGTACCATTTAAATGTACGAGACTACCCATGTGAACTTATGGGCTATGGCATTAATCCTAGTAGTTTGTTAAGGGTTATTTGTGATCTTGGCTGGTGCTCCTATCTATACTCGTAGAAAACAATTGAACAAGTTAGCGATTTCGTACTATGGTAGATTTGTTATAACACTTCCCTCCTAACTGCATATCGAATCGAGCCGATCATCCAATCATTTAGAATTATACTCCCACAGTCTCCCATTAGCCAAAATATTGTCATGACTTATAGTAAACAATTTATTGAACCATTTTTTTTTATTTTATTTGTGTGTGTTCTATCTGATTCATCCTTGGGGGTAATTCGAATTTGAGGCTCAGTTCTGAATGGTTAAGTTCCAATCCCCTCCCAATTATTATTGCGGATTGAACAAATTACTTAAGTACTCCTTATCAGATTAACAGTTTATCTAATATGCGTTCGCAAGCAAATTTAATGTTACATTAGCACATAAATTTGTAATAGAGTAAATGCAGGCTCTAGTTAAATTTCCAAATGTTAACCTACCAGAGTTTCGGGACACGTGGTGCCTCCGCCACTCATTTCTACTTAGTAATTATTTGGAAATCTAATATCATATCACTAATATATAAAACCGGTCTCGCAGTCAGACCACGAGATATCGACACCTGACATTACAACTTTTTACTAAGTGCCGAGCCACGTAGACGACCAAGAGGTATTATTGTGACACGTAGGATGCTAAGTACGCGAATTTTGGATAGTTTTTTTAAGATAAAAATGTTATATAGTGTTTTATTATCGATATACTTCTAATACTTCATAAATACAAAATTAATTATAACTTATAATAAATATCTCATAACTCCGTATTATTTCCATCATAAAATTCGTTTTAAAAATTTCTGTAAAATAAGATCCATTTATAATACTATCTCCATTCCTGAAAGTTCGACTCACTTACTATTCATCAGGTCAAAATAAGATAACTTTGACCACATATTATGATTTATATAACAGAAATAAATTAGCATGAGGGATCTTATTAGATTATCCTTATTATAAAATTTTCAAAAATCAACTTTTTATAATTTTCATTTATACATAGTCAAAGATATTTATGGTCAAAGATGTTCATTGGAGACCGCGCAAATACAAAGTGAGTCGAACTTTCAAGAACGGAGGGAGTATATTTTAATAAAAAATAGAAAATCAGTAAAAATAAGTTTTAATCAGAATAAATAATTTTAGTTTGGTAAAAATACTTTCAGTTCACTAAAAATAATTTAACTTCAATAAAAAAAAATATCAAGTTAATAATAACATAGATACCTATTTACAAATAAAACTACAAAAAGTACACTATTATATAAATATGCGATATGATATTATATGTTTAATATTTTACGTCTAATATGTTACATTATTAAAAGGGGTTATATGATCGTATTTAACATTCAAGCTAAAAAATTTAGGAAAATCCGGGCAACGTCCGGGCACAAAACTCATCCGGTCTCACAGTCAGGACACGAGATAGCAACACTTGACATTCCAATTTTTCGCCAAGTGTCGTGCCACGTAGGTGACAAATAGGTATTATTGAGATACATATGATGTCAAATAAGCGATTTTTGGAGATAAAAATATTGTATAGAATTTTATTATCGATATACTTCTAATATTTCATATATACAAAATTAATCATAACGTTAAATAAATATCCTATAACCCGGTTTTATTTTCATCATAAAATTCGTTTCAAAAAATTCTTTAAAATAAGATTCATTTATAATAGGAAAATTTGTTCAGAAAAACCTTTTAAAAATTTTTTGGCCAGGAGAAACTAGTTTTAAATTTATTTATTTTGTTCAATAGAGCCAAGTGAGACTTTTCGACATTGACTCACACTTTTCAAGCATTGACCACCCTTTTCCCCTCATGTACCACTCGCGTGACTCTTAAATCTCTAATCACACCCCCTTTTCCTAATTCCACACCCTTTTCCCTCCAATTACACACTCTCTCTCTCCTGCTCTCTGTGAACAAGAATTAAGGCAATTAATCCCCTCTCTGCCATGGCTACAACATCATCAATGAATAAGTGAAGCTACATTCAATTTACAACAACCCAAAAACAGTAAGTTTAATTTAAAAATCGATTCTTTCTTTTGTTTGTATAAACATAGCATTGTTTGGGTTTATGAAGTCCTCTTTGCAACAGGAAATCCACACCTACACCGCAAATCACCTCCTCGAACCATAATTGCTGCATAATTGAGAAAGTTTAAAAAGGGGCAAAAAACCCTAATTTCTATCAGTTTTCGAAACTTTGAGAGTTGGACAAATTAAGCACTTACCCCTTTGGTCGAAACTAGTTGGGAATGCCTTCAATTGCTTCGAATTCACTAGACTCCAACAATGGCTTGTTCACAGAGACGAGAGAGAGAGGAGAGGGGAGTGTGTAATTGGAGGGAAAGGGGAGTGGAATTAGAAAAAAGGGGGTGTGATTAGATATTTAAGAGTCCGTGAGTGGCACATGAGGGGAAAAGGGTGGACAACACTGCCGGAAAAGTGTGAGTCAACGTCGGAAAGTCTCACTTGGCTGTCTTGAACAAAAAAAAATAAAAAAATAAAAAAAAAAACTGGTTTCTCCTTGCTAAAAATTTTTAAAATGTTTTTCTGAACAAAAGTTCACTTTAAAAGGTTTCTAACGAAATTTTCCTTTATAATATATTAATTTAGTTAAAAAAAATAGAGAATCAATAAAAATAAGTTTCAATCAGTAAAAATAATTTAAGTTCAATAACAATAATTTCAAGTCAATATAACATAAATATCTATTTACAAACAAAACTACAAAAAGTACACTATTATATAATTATAAGCTATAGAAATTACATGATCATATTAATGAACATTCAAACCAAAAAGTTTATTCTAAATTTTATCATCCATTTGGGCATCGCCCAGGGCACGAGACAATAATACTTGACATCTCGGTTTTTCACCAATTGTCGCACCACATAGGCGACAAATAGGTATTACTGTGACACATATAATGCTAAGTAAGCGAATTCTGGATAGATTTTTTTAAGATAATAAATGTTGTAAAGAGTTTTATTATCAATATACTTCTAATATTTCACATATATAAAATTAAATCATAACTTTTAATAAATATCATATAACTCTGTTTTATTTCCATCATAAAATTTATTTCTAAAAGTTCCTTAAAATAATTTGTAATATATATAATTTATTTAAAAATAATAATTTATTTTAAAAAAAAATAGAGAATTAGTAAACATAAGTTTTAATCAGTAAAAATAATTTTAATTTCGTAATAATTTAAGTTCAACAAAAATAATTTCAAGTCAATAATAGCACAGATATCTATCACAAACAAAAGTACAAAAAGTACAATATTATATAAAATAAAGCAATATGATATCGTATGTCTAAATATCCTACATTACCAAAAGGGATTATATGACTATATTTAACATTCCAGCAAAAAAAATTTATCCTAAAATTTTATTAACAATCTGGGTCAGGCACAAAACTAGTATATATATAATGAGGAGTTTTTTCCCGAGTTTTTAGAACGCCACGTAGGATTTTATTTTTAAAAAAAATACTAGAGCGCCACATAGGATTAATAATTTTAAAACGCTACAATCGGATTATGCCACGTAAGATTAGTTTTTTTTTAAAGCGCTACGTAGGATTATAAAAAAAAAGCCACGTAGGATTAAATAATTTTAAAACGCTACAATAGGATTATGCCACGTGAGATTAATTTTAGAGCGTCACATAGGAAAATGTTATATTTTAGCCAAAAAAAAGAATTGCAATTTATTTTAGATCAAAAATTTTGTATTAATAATAAAATAAAATCAGCGCGTTTTTTTGTGTGGCTGGCCATATCATGTGGCCGGCTGAGACACACCCAAACACTGACCGAGTAACTCCTGATCAATTGAATAACCTTGATCAACCAAGTAATCCCGACCACATAGTGTGACCAGTCACATATGAAACTTTGTGAAATAAAATATTATCTTTTTATATTACAAATTCTATCTAAGTAAATATGATAAACAATTTAATAATTCATTTTATAATAAAAAATTCAAGTAGTAAGCAAGCAAGCGAATATCACAAAGTTTATTAGATAAATATATATTTAGTAAAATATTTTATTTAAAAAAAATACAAGCTAACCGTGCATTGCACAGATTTCATCTAGTTAAACTAATTTATAAATCTCTTCATGGATTAAACCCTACTTGGCCTACTACTTACCTAATGATACAAGTGAAGAATTATGTATGT